ACTTTCAATGTGGGTAGTTCAGGTTGTAAAGAAGGAATGGAATGAAGTTGGCAATGGTATAGTAACTAATTGTATTTTCTTTTCATTTTGTTTTGTTTGAAGTTAATCGAAAGGATATCTAACTAGCAGCCAATAAAAAGGCCTCCCTAGATAGGTATAAAGCACTAAAAAATTAAGCTAATGACAATAAAAAAGTACTTGCTCGCTTATGGCTTGAAAATCGATCTTCAATATAAAAAAATCAATCTATTCATAATTCTTTCCTTTTTTTTTTTATCTAATAGAGTAAACAGTGGCTTAGCCTACTTCTTTTATTCCAAAAGTTATTGCGTAGTAAATACTGAAATAAATAGAGTTAGGCCATTTTTATAAATAACCTTTTGTGTTTATTCGTATTTGCTTTACTTTAATACAACTATCAAGAGCAAGGAACGCCATCAAAGCGAAAGAAACCTTGATACGATTTATGCACAAAAGAGATAAAATCAGGTCAACTTATAATTGAAAAAGTATGCAGCACTAATTTTGTGTAAAGCAATCTTGTGCGTCAACATTTTTAATTCGGGTAACAACCAAATGAATTTAACACTTAAGCTGAGTGTAAAATGAGATGAACATCGATATTAATTTTTGATAATTTCGTAAAAGCAAAAAAAAAAAAAACAAAAAAATCAAAAATTTATATTTCGTTTTCAAGTCCGATATCTCATTATTTATTATTTCATTAGCATTAATAATAAAAGATCGCTTATTCACACTTTTAACCGAATTGGCCGAAAGTGTTGCTATACATGACAAATTCCAGGCTTAACAAGCAATTTTTTAAACTTTTTTGTTGGCGCAATATTTTATGCAATCAGTAATCATGGCTTGAACTATATATATATACATATATTTTGTTTCTTGGAAGTTCTTGGAAACAAAACGTTAAAGCAATAAAATTCAGTCAATCTTGTTGATACGGGAACGAGACGCAGCCTATAGCTCAAGGTAATTGCTTAGGATAAAAATACCTATATTCCTTTTATGAGATTATATCTGAACGCTCTCTTACTCTTGAAATGACTTTTAGACGCAGTTGTTTTAGGGTTCTTGGACACATCCATCAGTACTGATACTAAGAAATATTAGTTGTAATTAGATTTACTGTGAACGCTTTATAGTCAACTTAAGTTAACCAGTTTTGTTAAGGATTCTTCAAGCAGCTTTAAGATCAAAAATCTGCTCTCAGTGATTCTATAATTGTGCCAATGATGACTTTACTTTTTAAACCTTGTCATCGTTTTCGTAACTTAGCATAGTGCTAATCTGCCAGGTTCAATCTTTATATAACTCGTACAAATGATTTTCGAACTTCAGAGCGCTTCGCTCTTTTATAGAATATTTATGGATTTTTTATGTACCCACAATACTTTATACCAAGTAGACTGCAACTAATTAATTTTGTAATTAAAATTCAATTCAATTCTTTTCGTGGTTGTTTTGATGCTGCCGGCATATTGTTATTCATAGTTGAAAACATTTATTTACTTATTTAGCCTATTTATTTACAAATGAAATTCCATTAAAATAAGTTAACAGCCGAACTCAATTGACTCTTGGAACTAAATATTATGCGAATTATTATTGAAAACTAATACAAAATATATAAGGAGAAGAAAAGAAAAAAAAATGACGAAAGGATAAAAAGAATAAAATTCATTTATTACGTTATCAAATGTAATAATTGGAAGCCATTGGAAGCATGCAAAATCTTGGCAATCGATAACAGTAAACAACACAAGACAAATTTATTTTTATAAGAAAGCAAAGAGACAAATTCAAAAGAAGCAAGACTTGCTTTTGAAAGGATTCTGTTGAGTCTACACAACACCTACAGAAAGGAGACAACATGAAATAGGGATACTCAAGTGTTGATCCGACAAAGCTCATGTATAGCCTTTTTGTAATGTACAGATCGTTAAACTCCTTGGACCACTTAAAGAGAATTCTATGAGCAGATTAAAACGTAATCTTTGATCCAATAAAACTCCTAAATCCATGAACGAATCTACGTTTTCCAATTTTTTGTGGATGAATGAAGTACGCAGTAATGAATCAGTTCCTCTTTGTGAAAGCAAGCTTCCTGCATTTTATTAGATCTAATATCACAGAATTTAATGAGCGCCATGTAATCAAATAAGTCAAGTCGCTTTGATGTTGACAAGGATTCGATCCCAAGGAAAAGAAAGAAAACAGTTTAACATCGCTAGCGAACGTTAAGATATGGCTGGATTTAAACACTGAAGGGAGACTATTGAGGGACAGCTGACGTCACAGGGCCTTCCTCCAAGGTGATGGAGTTAAACAGAACCCCAAATAGTTTGTTAAGAAAATGGGAGCTTACCTATTTCAGTACGGACGAAAGGAAGTCATTTGTGTAAATTGTGGTTAAGTAAGTCAAATGCTTTACTAAAGTCACTATATCGGGCATCCGTACGAGAGTCACATTTCCAAGCCAAATTGAAAAAAACGACAAACACAGTGTCAGTTTTGCACTTTAAATTTTACAGTTTTGAAGATTTTAACAGATGCACTGATCAAAAAATTATACAACTTCTCGAGCAACTTATGCATACTTCTCCATATTGAAACGAATGAAATTCTATTTTGTCATCATTGAATACAATCCAACAAGACGGACAGACGGACAGAAAATCTGAAATGAATTCAGAAAGTAATTCCTCTACTCTCCATACTCTTATATCACATATGGTGTTGGGTATAGCGTCAATGACGAAAGGAATGAAGAATCATTCCTTCAATTTTCTATTTGCAAGAAAGCGCAAATGGATCGTAATCCATGCGATCGTAGGTCATGCGACCTACATGGAAAACATAATATAAAATAACGTATGTAATTTAAGAAATTCCGTTGAGAACCTTGCGCTCTTTCGCTCCTACCATTCCATTAAAAGAGGTTTAATCTAAACCAATCGATATTTGAGGACCAGAAAGTTCAGATATAACAAAACATTTTGTGTAAATTTCTGTTCCCAACGCATACGTGCGACTGTGAACGTACTTTATTTCCACTTGACATCTGACCGTTGCTGTATTGAATACTCTACTCTACTACGGTAAAGCCGAATTGCTGCGACAGACGCTGACACTTCATTCTAAGTAATCATCACCGTGTCTGTACACGTATAAAGGACATTCCCTGAGCCACTTGTCAGTTCTTGTATATTCTCTATTATGCTTTTTATTATTTTCTATCGTGCTGCACCGAAAGGAGCTTATCGAATATTTCTTGTAGATGTTATATATACATATATTCGTATATATTTAAATATATACATTACTTAGATAGATATATTATATCAATCACCAGCCTAATATTTTTGGAGATTATATTTAAGGAACTCTCAAAATAAATGGTTCTTGTTCTTCACGTTTTTCAGAATAACCCTCATAAGCAGTAAGATGGCTTAGTAATTAGTTATTTATTCGAGTTCAAATCTGGTAAACTAAATCAAAAATAATAGTTTAAAAAATAAAAGTTTAATACGCTCCAATTTTGCATAAGTAACTTTGTAACGACACGAAGTGGTGTGGAAAGTAAAATTTGCGGGAACTAAATAAAAAATTTGTTAATCATTACGCCTACCAGTTATGAAAAATATACATTATCTTTAAAATGCGATTTCTCATACAGATATCAACTCATATAGCAAACAAATAAAGATGCAGCTTATTCGTCTCAGCATTCGTGTCTAAAGACAACTGAAACACTGACACTTATTTCTTTCTTCTTTTGTATCTCTCGCGAACGCGAATAAAAGATGTATCCGTTTTTTCATTGCGTTTGCAAAAACCCAGAGGCGTTGTACAGCTCGGAAACGCAAATAAGTCATCCGTGAATGTATTCGTCTGTCAGTAGGTCCATTCCATCCATTGTTTTTTAATAGTCAAAAAGGAAAAAAATTTTAAATAGCAAATTGAAAACATTATTATCAGACTTACAACGAGTGAAAGTTGCAAAAATAAATTTTATGCACTAAGTTTGCCAATGAACTAAAAATTTGAAATTAAATTAGTCTGAAACTTTTTAAAATTGTAGCAGATAACCAAGTGAAATTTTGCGGCAAATATTTATGATAACCACATAAATACTTCATGGAAAACTGGTTCTCATTTACCCATTGGCAAGCATACAATTAACTAAAAAAAAAGAAAACTTAGCGGTTTCCTTGCATTTACTTTAAATGATGGGTACCCAAAATTCGCCCCGAGGTGCACATAACTTCTTCTTCTTCTTTTTATATGATCTTTTTTTTTTTTTGCTTTTTTTGTTGGCTTCTATGGCGGGTGTGTATGTTTTCTTTAATACATTATCATCATCGCCATTATCATCTTCATCATCATTATCGTAATATCCTGTGTATAGTAAGACACAACGCCAGACAAGTCTCTTAAACATTGTCAGACAGACGCAAGCATGACATGAATGCGAAATGACAGCTGTTTCCACCTTTTTGAGAAACATATCGAAACGGGTAGAATGAATTGCATTTACCAACATACCATACGCAGTAATGTTGCGAAGAAGACAATTCAATGAGCTAAACAGCTTGCAAACATAGAGAATTGTGTGTATTAAGACGAGAAGAAAAATAACCGCAAAAACCACAAACATTTAATTTTAATTTTTTCCCTTTGATATTTTGATATTTAAAACAAAAAAAGGAAAAAAGGGAAAATTATAACAATAATAATAATTTGAATCAAAACAATAGCTGGATATATATATATATATATATATATATATATATATATGTATATATTATTTAATAAAAGCTTTTTATTAAAACTTATTTTGATTAAAGTTAATTTTAATTTATTATGTAATTTGTTCTTCTCTTCTTTTCGCCTTTTCTTTTCCCTTCTTTGCTTTTCTCGTTCTTTTTTTTTTTTTTTTTCTTGTGTTTTTCTGCTTACTGTGCTTTCGCCCACGACAGGTGAGCGACACCAATGACAATCCGCCTGTGTTTGATGTGCCTGTTTATTCGTTTGACATACCAGAGAACGCCCCACGTGGCTATCAGGTTGGTGTGATTGCTGCCGCAGATCCAGATTTGGGTAATAATGCCGTCGTCACATATACCGTAATATCGGACTGGGCCAACGATGTATTTAGTTTGAATCCTCAAACAGGCGTCTTCACTCTGACAGCTCGTTTAGATTATGAAGAGGTAAGCTTATACACATATATATAAATATATATATATATATATATATAGGTATATATAAATAACCCTTTAAACTACTTGATTAAAGTGATATTTATCTTTATTTTTTTTTTTTTGGTTTTTAAATTCTTTTCTTTTAAAATTTGTTTAAAAATTAATAAAAATTCCTCATATACATACATACAAACAGATGCAGCATTATATTTTGGTAGTCCAAGCGCAAGACAATGGTCAGCCCAGTCTATCTACCACTTTGACGGTTTATTGTAATGTTTTGGATTTGAATGATAATCCACCAGTATTTGATGCCATGAGTTATTCGATGGAGATTTATGAGAACGTCTCGATTGGAACACCTGTAGTGACCGTGACGGCCGCAGATATTGATTCAGGTAAGCGTCAGTGTGTGCATGCACACGTATTTTATATGTTTATATAATTGTGTGGATCATATTTTTTGCGTGATTTTAATTTATTATTTACGAGTTATAATATGGTGTGTACGCGCACATATAATCGCAGCACACACATATATGCATACAAATGTACGTGCATATGTCTCGTACCAAGCATATATGTACATAGGCGTGTGTATACTTATGTAGGCCCGTGTCTTTTAGAACTTAAAAATTTTTGTAAAGCTTTTGATGCTAGCCGTTGGGGTTCTGTGAATTTGTTTTTTTTTTTTTGTTTTTTCTTTTTTTTTCTCCTTTTTCATCTTTTATTAAACTGAAATTTTTTCGTTCCTTTATTATTGTAAATTGTTTATGCATATATATGCATACATATGTGTGTAGATGTATGCATAGGTGTATGTGTGTGTCAATTTGCAATTTTGCATAAAATTTATTACGGTGATTATACCCGATTCTTGGAAAATAGTAAAAGTAAATTGATTTAAGCTCTTGAAGCTGTGCACCAACAGGTTTTTAGTGCCCTATACTACTAGTGGCACAATACATATTAACTTTGTGCAGATATTTTATTTTATTTCAATTTTTTTCCTTTTTTTTTTTTTCAATTACTTACGATTACTTTGAACTTCTTTTTGCCACTACTTTCTTTTTCTTCGTCAGTGTTGTTAACATATTTCATTGCAGGAAGTGCGGAAATTCGAAATGGGAATAAAGTTGTTCTTTATGGTTAATTGTATCTTAATTAAGCATAAACTAATACGAATATTTTTAACTAATGAAATTTTCTACAATAAAGTCGTTAGATGCCTACCATCTGGCATCTACCTCTGGTGTTCGTGACATTCCTTATCTATCTTTAATTTTTAATAAGTGGAATTAGGTCTATGGATTGCTGCCAGGTTTTTTAAAACTCAGTTATCGACAGCAGAAAATTCCTTCAATCGCAGAGATATCGAAACAAGCAAAAAGTCCATCTGTTTGTTCAGCTCACGACAGGCTTTCCGTACCGCTGCCATTGTTTTATTTCATATTTTGATTCGATCATTTCGCGACATCAAAACAAATAATCGAACATTTTACAAGAACATTACAAGTTCTCGATTAACTCATTCTTCTATGATTCAATGACAGTTTTTACCAGATTACAGTTTCAAAAGTAATTGGTCTGTTGACGTACGACAAAATGCTTGAAAGAGATATGGGAAAATCGCAAAAATGTTAGCTGAATTTACAAATTTGAACGATAGTTTAACATAAGTAAAAATACTGCTGCATACAATTTAGAAGCTGTTTAAAAAACCTCACTGATACATTATACGGAGTTCAGAAAAACAAGTGAAAACATTATAGTCGGGCAAGACGGGCCATTAAATACCTTCACCTCATACTTCACTTAACACAATTCTTCACTAATTTTAAGATGAGATATAAAAAATTATACCTTGTCGCCAAATAATGATTTACCTTCCAAGAGAATCTTCAAATGTGGCGTGGCGCGCAACATATACCTAAGTTAGTTACAGCTTGTTCTTGGGTCAAGTTACCCTCATGGACCAATTTTAATTGTAAAATATCAAAAATTAGATATTTTTGTCATTTAAAAGTTTAATCTTCAGAAGCACTCGTATAAGCGATGGAATCCATAAAATTGATCTACGAGGGCAAAACGTATAACAGTTAGTTTTAATGTCAAGTTACTCTTATGAACCAACTTTAGTTATGAAATATTTAAAATTAGACGATTTTGTCATTAGATGAGGCAGAGTTTAGCACTATACCAACATGGCCCAAATGTGATACAGTGAATTGTTATGTTATGATAGACCAATTATCACTACGATATATTAAAAATTAGACGCTTTTGCCATGTAGGCGCTTACCATAATTTGTATAGGGTATAAAAATAGTAAAAAAAATACAATCACTTGATGGGAGCAATTTCCAACTTATATTAAATACTATCAAGAATAGCGCATCGTACCGATGTTAAAGGAACTTACGCATTTACTTGCTTTATCTGGCCTTTACTGAGAATTTTGAGCATGCATTTTCCATTTGTAAGAGATCTGTTCCAGGCGCCCAATGTATACACATTTTTACCTCTCTTAAGCATTCGCTCAAAGATATTTTTATTTTTCTTGGGTTGTTCGTACATATTTGCTTTCAGTGTACTTTTATATCTAAATTAAAATATGCAGTTAATAGCTCAATGGAAAACTTAACGGATGTAAAGAGGAAATTTTACCTTAACACCTTACTCTAGATGTACGGAAACATGTTACAAGTCGCAAAAACAACCAAAGGAACCACAAATTTGCTTAAAACCTGAAATTTCACCTTGAACCTGATGGTTCCTTTTGCATTGTTATAATTATTTTCATTTTAACTTATCATCCCAAACTCTTTGATCGGGATTCAACCCTTAACCACCGAGACTCTACCGAAATTGGTCCATAACAATCCATAAGCCGCGCGTTCAAATCTTAAGTGCAGTAGAGTTTTCAAAACAGGAGAGGATATGATCTAAGTGATTCGGTAGCCTTTAAATCCATGGTTTGTGAATTTATATATAAAATGTATAGATAGAAAATAAAATAAAAAAATTATCGCTGTTTTTTTAAGTTGTTTTAGCTTTTTCTGCACTTTGGGCGAGTATGAAAAAATATCACATCCCTTTCATATCACATCGTATTCCTAATCGATCGAGGAATGCTAACGTCAAATGTCAATTCCCTTTCTTAATTTTTGCAGTTGTGGCAAATTGCGAGATTACCTGTCAAATTGACGCGTTTCCCTAAAAGTAGTTGTAGAAAATTACATTGGCTTTTCATATTGCAAAAGTGGGCGCGTCCCAAAAAAGAAGAGTAAACATATACATTATATCATTAAAAACTAATAAATAATATCGAAACAGATCGATTTCCTCATTGACTGGTGCCGTAACTCTAATGCTAAATTAATCAGATATGTTGACTTGTTTGTACGGGTACGCTTGTGGGCTGTGTTGGGTATAAATCCAGCATATTCTCTGATAATTCAAGGCATTTAAAGCAACATTAGATCTACATTTTCCGTAAACGTGAAGTTTAAGCATTTTGTTTTTGTAAAAATAAGAAGAGCTTAAATGTAATTGAAAATACGTAACTTATATGTTAATATGCCCATCATTGAAGAATGCGGATAAGGCAAGTTTTTTTATGCATATATTCCCGCATTAGTCACGTATTCCTCTGTACTCTCATTACTCTATAATGAAAAAAATAATTAAAATTTTACAATTAGAAAAGAATTGTTCTATTCGTTCAAGCTAATAGCTCATAAATTCTGTGCTAATTCAACTAAGGATTACCAAAAACAAAAAAATTACTAAAAAATACTGATTTATAAAAGCGATTTAAAAATTTAATTATTCTCTAAATAATAGACGCTTTTCTTTTTTAATAACCTTTCCCAAAAATTAATTCATTTGAAAATAATTATACACAAAAATGAACGCAACTAATTTGAAATGTAATTATGTAAAATATATGTCAGTAGATGTAGAAAATGTAAAAAAAAAAGTTCAAAAAATAGTAGAAAATTCCTTACCCAACACCATTGACTTCCTTCATATTATCCCAAGTATACGTATATATAACTGTTATAGACAAATCAAAACCGCAAAAACATAAAGCATAAAATTCACAAAAAGTTTACCACATATTTAACCGATTGACCGACTAAAATACAAATACATTTACCTTTCGATTACGAATGCACTTCAACTATGCAATTTATACTTCTCCACGTGAAAATGCAGACAGACACATACATATATATATGTGTGTGTGTGTGTGTACAACAGCTAGAAAAACTACAATAACCAGAAGCTGAGACTTTCAGAAAAAGAGGAAAGAAAATCATTACAATAAAAACACAGAATATCTTAAATTATAGTCAATATTATGAACCGCGGCCAACAGACCGATATACCATATATTAAACCTAAATATACATGCATATATATATATATATATATATATACATATATAAATATGTATGTATTAAAGTGATGAAAAATTGAATTTGAAAGAAAGAAAAAATCTAGGTATTAAGAAAAAAAAAAAGAAAAGAACAACGAAAAACAGCAGAAAATACAACTAGACACGATTTATGGCTGACACCTTTTTAGCATCAATGAACTCTCGCAGACTGTTCATTGGCAAGAAGAAATCAACAATAACAAAAACAACAACAACGACAATAGTAACAATATTTAACCGCATATAAAAAAAAAGACTATCTGGCCAACCCATGCACATTATCACACCACCACACACTACCGATAGTAATATTAAAGAGGAATACTAGGAGTGGAATGATATCTAAACTAAGTGAAGCTGGAAAATACCTTTTTTTTTGTTTAGTTTTATTTTATTTTGTAACTTTTTTAATTCAACTTTGTTTTGAACTGAGTCAGTTGTTACTGTTGCTGTTGTTGTTGTTGTTGTTGTTGTTGTTGTTGTTGTTGTAAATCAAAAGCAATTTATCATAATCAAAGTAAACAAGAAAGAGATTATAATCGGCTTACGCCGACTCTTTTAATACCTGTCATTTACTAATTTCTCGCTTTTAATAAGCCGAGAAAAATATGTTTAATCAAAAATCTACAATAACCTGCCACGTAAGCGTAAATCTCTTAGTCTATATGTGCAAGCTCTTATAAATGTTTCCAAACACACGTGGAAGCTAATGTTGTATTCACACTACATAAACAAATCATAATATACACAGGTCCTTTTATGAGAACGCAGAGAATACATCATTATAGTAAATAAGATATACTGAAGAGAAGTTTTAAAATTGTCAGAATTGAAAAAATTCCCCTACATTATCGCCTTGACTCTAAGAGAACCCTGAATGATTACAAACTTTTGTCCAGAGCTTCGCATCTACAATCTACTATTTACCCTCGTGTACACATTTGTCACATTCACCATATGTTTTGACATCTAGAACCTTCAACCTGTTCAACCTGTCTTTCAATAAAGCCTAAGCGAAGAGAAACATTCTAAGACAATAGTTTCTACTATGCATGAAGTTTTAAGACCGTAATATTAATTCAATTCGAAAGAGTAGCGTATCGGACAACAGACAAACTGAAATAATCTTATGCTCGCTTATAAAAGCTAAACGGGGTTTCAACGTATGCTTCTAGATATTTACAATTTTCAGATAGATAGAGAAAAAGCTTACAAGACAAATATATCTTAGGCCTATGCTTCCACTTACACCGATGAAATGTGGTCACAATCTATGAATTGCACACGTTTACCTTACCTAATATACCACCTATGGTGAGTATAGAAAAGCATTTTTACCAACTGAAGCAATGAATAAATGAACAAAAGAAAGACAAAAATTACGACAACTTTTGCTGATGTAACTTTGATTTCTTCTTTATTTCGCCGAAAAATATTAAAATTGCGAACGTTCAAGGTTTTCATTGTATCGCTCTTTAATGAAAGGATGTCAGTTTGAAAATTTCATTATTTTTATAAAATTTGGGAAAATTGTTAAGGCGTCATAATTGGGAGGTAAATTATATGTTTCGAGCCCGGTCAATCGCTCTCCCTCTCTCTCTCTCTCTCTCTCTCTCTCTTTTAACCACAAAAAGTAATTCTTCGTAAATAACTTTGAGCTAAACTGTAAGTGTTTTTATTTTTTTTTTGTAGTTTTTCGTTGTGTAGAAAATTTTTCATAAATAGTCGAACAATTTAAAAAAAAAATATTAATTTAATTTCTTTTTTAGATAGAGTTTAAGAAGAAATTCCTTGGAAGCATTCTTCAAAGTTTAACCATAGAAAACTGGTTTTTTCGTGTTTTTTCTAATATCAGTTGTTGTTGTTACTTTTTTTTTTTATAAAAAATCTTTTCTTTTTTTTTAATAAAGGTGATAACGGTCGCATCGAGTATACGATTACATCGGGCGATGATAATAACGATTTTGAGATCTTTTCAAACGGTACCATACGTACGCGCCATTTATTGGATCGTGAAACAAAAAGTTCATATAATTTAATTGTAACCGCAAGAGATTGTGCTAAAGAATTTCCAATGATGCATGATGATCACCAACAGCTGCTGCAGCAATTGCAACAACTGCAACGCAATTCATTGCCATACAATTTTCAACGTCAGCGACGTCAATACCATCAATATCAACCTCAACATCCTCAGCAGCAGCAGCAACAGCAACAGCGGCAACACCATAATCAGCAGCAACAACAACAACTACAGCAACGCGTGCAACAGGAGCAACAACGACGTTTATCAACCACTGTTCAGGTAAGCGTTTACGAGCTCATACACACACGTATATGTATATACGTATGTATATTGATACTTATATTCAAACACTACCAGCTACTATTCACTTACATGCATAACGTTGTATCATTATGTGTATACATGTGTTCGTGTCTTATTTAATGATTTTATTATGTTTCACCGCTTCTTGGTTTTTGTCTTTTTCTTTTCGATCTACTTTGCTTTCTTTTAACTGGTGGTTAAATTAATTTTTACACAGTTGGTCTTAATAATTATTAAATCATGGTTACAACCAATCTTTGACATTTAATTCACAGTCGGAGAGTAATATTTTTATCATTTAGACAAGATGGGCACACAATATAAAGCACGGGTTTTTCCTATATATAACCCATTAATTAATATATAACTTTCACGATAATGAAGTAACAGTGTAAAGTCTCAATTAATTCATAGATAAATGACTTTCGTTTTCACCTTTTTATTGCACTTGTAACGTATTTATGTCCATAATCCTCATGTCTGCCTAATAAGAAACTATTACCACTTGCCAATTTAGGAGGAAGTGCCTTTACTGAGCTAACTACTTCTTGAGATGTACGACGGGTTCTATATTTTTGGCGCACTGATACTCTTCAGATTGTTACAACTAAAAGAGCAGCATGTACTTACCCTTCACGAACAACCGGACAGACATTAACTAACCTACCGAAAAGGTATACCTTATGTCCCTGGACCTTGCTGTACCCGCCCATGACGTGTATGGAAGACCACGAAGTTAGGTCCAAAGACCCCTCTATGCTACTTTCTTCTCCTATATAATAAAATACTGCTTATTTAATTTTTTTCTTTTCACATCCTTTACAGAATTCATTGTACCAATATGTACATGAGTTATTATATTAATTTATTTAATTGTAAATATGTATATATGTACGGATGTAGCTGCATATGTAAGCAAATATGTGTATGAATGTAAATTTTTAAATATATTAAGAGTAAATTGTTATACATAAATCGTTTAATATAAATACGATTAATACAAATGTAGGTGGTCACACTTGCATGTATTTATATACTGAGAAATCATACCGCAGAGCATCGAACCATGATTCACGTTATAGAAAAGAGGAATCAAAGTCAATTGACCTAAATTTTGCAACAGAATCATCGAAAATAAGCGTTCTTCAATCATAGGGCGTTACTTCCAGCAAATAGATTTTTAAATAAATCCAAAGGATACAAAATGAAATCTGCCACTAAATGGTAGATATTTAAGATTGTTTGCTACTGGTAACCTTTGCCGAATTCGTCGAGTTTGACGGTTTTTTCATTTTTGAAAGCATTATAAGGTAAATTTAATATATCCTTATAGGCGTAGGCAGGATGCAACTAATATCTTCACCCCGGTTCTACAAGTGACGTATAATAAATATGAATTTAAAATAAAAAAATTAAATTATAAATTAAAGTTTGCTAGAAACATTGGCAGTTTCTGCACGCAGGTTGGTATTAAAAATGGGCCAAATTGGTCAAAGCAGAAGCGCGCAGTGGAGCGTAAATTAAACGCAACTCCGTTTTTTTAACAAAAAATCTTTGCATTTTCGCTCGTTATTCGGCAATTATTAAAGTTAGAAGCTCGAAATTTTGCACATTTACGAAACAGTCTACCCTTTAGATCCGCAAATGGAAACAATCGGCAATGCCCACACGAAAGTTATGAGTGATTAAATTTTGTTTTTTTTCAATTTTTTAAGTTCTTATGCTTATTTATTATAAAGCAAAGAAGACGGACAAGTTTACAACTATTTTGTACATTTCTGAAATAAAGATATATGATCTATGCCTAAGAATGGGTTAACATCAATGTGATAGACCCCGCGATTAATTTTTTCTTAACAATACCAGCGATATGGGTATCAAATAAAAGAACTTGAAGAGTGGAGTGCGAAAGGCATAGTGGTGGGTATGCGAGATTCGGCCCCCGCCCAATATAACTTTTTTACTTGTTGTTTTATTAAGATGAAGTTTTGCAATCACCTAAGCTAGGCCGTAACTTAACAAAAAATTTAAAAATTACAAATTTACTCTTCGATCTTTCGAATTTATTGTATTAGGTATTCTACTTCGCAATTAAGTCTTGTGGATATTGCGTTGTTACAGCGCTGTTGCCCTGGTACATGTCTGCGAATATAATACAGGATGTTGTTCTCTAGCATAAGCAATTACGTATTGACTTCATATTATTCGTATATAATCTTCTTTTGTCGTTTTACTATAAAATTTTCATAGCGTTTTTAAAGCAGTTAGGAAATCGTCCAACGACATTTATTAAGTCAAAGCGACAATCACGTACTGGTTTCTCTAACGATTGACAAAGAAATTAGTCTCTTAGAATACTTTGCATATGAAATGAGATTAATTTGATTTTTATTGAATTTAATTTCAATTAAATTATTTATGAGAGTACGCGATAGTGGCGCAAAGGAGAAGACGAACGAGAAATTGAGCCACTTTTAAGTAAAGTTTAATAAAAGTTTTATTTAAAAATTTTGAAAATTCCAAAATGTTCCAAAAAGTAATTCACTAGTCCCTAAAAGAAAGGTTTTTAGTTTCTTTGAGCATAGATTGTTTTGCAAGACTTTAAAAGGTAGGTAGATTTGATCGAAAATTTCACGTTTTTGCATACAAGGCTGTCAGGTGTTCAAGTTTTAATGTAAATCCTTTCGCTGAAGAAGTAACGAGTCCGACCTAGAGGAATTGTGCTAACTTTCAAAAAGATTAATGCTTTTATTTCTGCGAAATCGTGTTCACCAAGGGAATGAAGCCTTTCGGGCGAGATGGTCAAGTACAGTTTAAACGCTGCTTTCTTGTATGTTTAAAAAATTGAATGAAATAACTCTTTAAAAAAAGATGAGTTATATCGTAACACCAAAAATAATGTAGCCCCTTAAAGTTGTTAGACGACTTTCAAACCTTCGCTGATGTCTTTGTTTCAATAACATAACATTTTCTTAACACTTTTAATGGATTCTGGACACAGTTTGCTTTTTAAAAGAGAATTTAATTCAATCTCTTTGTTAAATAAATTTATTAGAATCAAAACTTGTAATTTTGAAATGAAGTTCCCCTTATTATTTGAAAGCGACATTCTATTTGATTAAAATTTGTTGAACTGATGACTTATAAAAAAAAAGTGCTACTCCGTCGAACGTCATTCCTTTATGTCTTAAATGTGTTAACAACAATTTCACTATCACTCGGCGACTCTTATTCACTTATGGGAATTATGGGAATAATTAGGATGCTCTTGTTTTAAGTTTATAGTTTAAATTCATTTACTTATTCAACCAAGCTATACATAAACATCAAATAATATATACAGAACATATATTTTTTGATTTCACGTTATATAAAAGAAAAAAACAACCTTCAAAAGTTCTACACAAACTTTGCTTCAATTCAATTCCTCGTAAAGAAATTATGAAATGTGCCTCGGTGCTGTTCCAAAATACTAGATACAGTTTCTCAACACATCTCTGTTCCAACATTTTATCTCTGATATGGTTCTTCCGGTCCGAGATACGCTTATCCATTTCTACCAAGGAGATTGTAAGGCATATCGTGCTATAATAACACAAACTTTGTGAGAAGGGGTAGTTTCGATAGCAAGACTAATTCTAAATTTGCAAACCCTTTTTCCCTTGTGTTAATTGTTAATTTAAAGTAATTTAAAAAAAAAGTGTTGCTAATATTATACCAAACAATCGAAAAATTCAAGTTCAAAGTTTGAATGAATTTCATATACCCTTCCCGGTAAAATTAAGGTTAATTTGTTTGGAAATTAATCCTCCCTTTAATATTATCTTCGGACAAACAACATCAATTGTTTTGCCTTTGGGTTTGCTAAGGCTGTGAGGTTAGATACTTGTTTTGGTTTGTACGCACGGGTGTGAGCCTATAGTTGCGAAATAGCAACCTTACAAGCTTAAAAACTAAACAAAAATAGTCAAACGCCGAATACATATACGTAATTCATATACATAATATTACACACATATCTCTACTTTTTTACTCAATAGAAATTGGAAAATATGGCTTCTTAATGTTATGTAATCGAGCCCCTTAATCTACGCTCATTTATATTACAATATTTTAAAATTGCGAACACGCACTCCACTATTGTGATTGGCTTGACTCTAGTAAATGGTCGCACATGTGTCCAAGTTACAAATATTTAAGTCGCGTAGACTTTTTTAACGTTTTTTCACAAAAAAAAAAAAAAAAAAATAAATAAATAAATAAAATAAAAAGACATTTTAAGTAATTCTTAATGTTGTTAATAAATTTTTGTTCGCAAAACATTCTCTCGTTGTCTTTGCAGTAAGAAATTTCCAGAAAATGCAGAAAATGAAATGATTTGTAAGATGAAGAAAGCTTCCGCATAAACAATATTAGTTTGGAGTATATAACTACTTACTAGAAAATGATATACAACAAGGTCGATATCCTGCATACTGTACACACATACATATATACATATATCTATATATATATGATAATGCTGCAACGTTAGTTTTATTCTATATATATATATATATATATATACATATATATGCACATAAAACATATGATTGTGCATATGTATGAATGTTTATTTGCCTTTAACTCTCCTCGTGGTGTTTTTTAATAAATTGTTTGCAATTAAAAAATGCATTAAAGTCTAAATGAAGGCTGTGTTGTCGCTAAGAAGTCAGTTACTGTATGAATTGCTAGGCTTATATTTGTTGTTGCTTAACCACTTGTACAAACCAGACGGCGAGTGTATGCATAGTTAATTTTGTGGTTTTTATTTTTTATTTTTTTTTATTTTTTTCTTACTATTCTCTCCAGCAGGGTGCCGAATCAGTGGTAGTATTAGTCTATTTTATTATATATATACAATTCAAAAACCATGGCAGCACCACCACAGCAACTCGAACATCGCAATCATTACCATAACCTACGCGTCATTTAATGGATGTTTTTTATTTATTTATTTATTTTTCTTTATTTCTATTACACACATCTGCTTAAGCGTATTCCGTTCCATTCTCTTTGGTAACGAGTGTACCAGTATTTTTTTTTGTTTTTGAAGCTATTTAGATAAAATACAAAATGTACTTGTTCTAGCTTTGTTAGAATTGTTCTTTCTTCCTCTTACTCCCTGTTTCTCCCACTTTCTTTTTTACTCCTGTCGTTTGCAGTTCAAATGCAAATTTAATTTTATTACCTGCAATTTTATATGAAATGTATTTACATTTATTTTTCTCACCGATCGTCTCCGCATAGTCAAAGACACATACATATGCACGCGCCACATACAGATAGACGCGTACTATAATTTCTAATTTCGTTAGTGCTGGTGGGTTGCCTACCGCTTATAGAGCTGTGATTACTGACATGCCATATACGAATGTCGACGTTCAAGTCCTGTTTCAGCAAGAAAATCGTTCTCTAAGCTTTAAATTAATGTGTTAAATTTTTTTAACGTATTTAGCTCGATTTTATTTTTTTTTTTATTTTTTTTATTTTTCTTCTACTTCTTTTTCTTTTCGCCACTGTTAAATGAGACCATATTAGTTATGTCATTTCATTTGTAGCACTAAGAAAACCATCAGCATCATGAACGTTAGAAAATACATATATATAGGTTTTTGATCAATACAGAATTGAGATTCAATTAAGACATTTTTGTCTTATGAAGCGTTAGTTTAATTGTTCACACTTTTAGCCTAATAAAGACTAAGATAAATAGTTGAACTTTGGTGTTGATGAGGTATTTCCGTTGATGAGAACATAACTATAACAACTATTTTCACTGCTTTATCGTATTCATAGATATGGACTTTTAAAACTAATTAGAGATAGGCTCAAAATAATAAGTAGGACTAACATCACGGACAAAGAAAATTAAGATTTCATGTAGAAATTTCTTATTTGATGGATGCAGGGCCAAATTAAGAAACACGTGATCCCTTTACAACAGCCGTCAGATGGTAATTTTTTTGCTTTTTCATAAACTTTCTTTTTCTTTACGAGAAAAAATTATGCAATAATTGAAGTCAATTGTTAGGTATTCGGAATTCGCTTTAAAGCGAATGTAAATCTTCAACTTGTTCTTTTTTTTCTTTTTTGTCTTGACGCAAAACTCTCAACATCCGTTATCTGACCTGATAAATTTTAAATAAATAATTAAAATTAACTATTTGTCTGCGCACATTCACATACAACTAGTAAAGTGGCAAAGAATGAAAGGAAGAGAAAAAGTAACTAAAAGGCGCATGAAAGTCTTTAATCGCATGCAGTGTATATGTATACGAGTACGTACAAGAAGAGTGAAGAGTGTGGGCAGCAAAGAATTAATGACTTTGCGAAGACAATTTATTTTATTGATATCAGCTTGATATGAATTGAAATGATGATCTTCTTGAATAAAAGTACGAATAAATGAAAATGTTCTTTCACCACATAGCAAAACCACTCGCACTTTAATGCGAAATTATAAAATTATCAATAGAGGTCCTTAATACTAATAATAAAAAAAGTCAATTCACTTTAATGCAGCATTACGCTAAAATACATGCCAAGAAAACCCTAAGCGGAACAGAGCATGACACTCGATCAGTGCCACAAGTTTTATTGATCAGTGTTAATATCGATAAATTTTATGCACGATTTTTCTTTTCATTGGGTTTTGCATACGCTACACTGGTTGGGGTATACTGCTACTACTTTACGTTGGTGCGGGCGTACATAACGCCTAGTGATTTACAATCACTTTCACTGTCCGTCTTGTTTTCTTGTGTTCAACCTATGGGTCGCAATTCTTGAAACATTTAGATGAAATTTGGCACCTTGGCGTGTTTCAAGGATGAACACTGTTGAAAATTGTCCGGATTGGACCACTTTTACGACCACTTCCCATATAACACCTTAGTTTGAAGAATGACTATAAGAATGACTGTAGAGGGGTCTAAAGGTTCTCAGGTTCACAGAGCATGTTTTGAAGTTAATCGTAAAAATTGTACAAAGGGATAAGATAAGAAGATTGATTGTGATGCGAGTAATTATTGATTGATTTTTTTTTTTTTAAGAGGATAGAGTTCTTTGGATATCTGAGAAAAACAATATTAATAATAAATTCGGTTGAAAAGGAAAAACAGTTTCTTGAATATCTATACTTTCAGATCCCCTATGCACTAGCTCTTGCTGTGAAAGGCATTTACACTAAATGGGCCACTGAGCTGTTTAAATTTAAACACTTTCGCGACCGTACACCAGTACCCTACTTTACCGACACTTCGCTAATAATACACGTCAAGGTGCCTTGCGAGAAAGCCTGGAATATTGTCATTTGTGAATATTTTTGAAAAATCATTTTTAATATTTAACAATATGCTTAATAAACTTCTCGAATTTTATTATTTTATTGCCTTTGCTTCAAAGTCAAAAAAAATGTCGGAAAAGACAGAGAAAACGGACTGACCTCAACTACGTATTTTTTTCTTTTTTTTCGAAAGCTGTTGATTTCAAACCCAATATGAACCATTTAAGTAACACATTTCCCGCTTCTTTGTAAGGCAACAATATTTGTAGCATATTACGATGGTTAAGTGCTGCTCAGTTTGATTTCAATTTTCTTTATTAAAGGCCAATCAAAATTACAGTAAATACTAAAATATATTTTATGCCTGATCGCACCTTTAAAAGAAATTTGTATTCAGTGCACTAACTGTAGGCTTTCCTATCAGTAGTGACAGTTTGACGGTATCTAATATTATCTATTCCGTATACCTCTGACGAAAAGTATAGAAAGGCTATTGATACATTTTTTTTTTCGTCCTGGTACAGTTTTAGTTAATGCATTCGCCTAATTACAGCGCATGTGCCTTAGAAAAGGGTTTCTTCACTCAATTTCACTCCTAATGTCATATTCGTTTGTCTGCTGTATCATGCTTTTCGGTTTGCTTTCAAAACGATTTAAAGATTTCAAATATCAGTGATCGTAGATTCACTTTTCACAATTGGTTCCTTTGGAATTTTTGCCACAAATTTCCGCAACAATTCATGTTAGTACAAACTTCATATTGTACGGAAGGATAACAGGTTGCTTACTCCGTTATTCGACAACGTAATTTTTTTTGGCTTCATCGATATATTCGCGAGTGTTTGAAATTAAACGGTGTATAGAACAAAGTCACATTTGAGCAACGTAATGGGAGCCTGTCGATCTGATTTATTGCTTATTCTAAGGTTTGTTTTTCCAATGAAGCCCAACGTCTCTAAAAACTCTTTTAGAAATTGGTTCAAAAAGTGTGCTTTCAACATCGAACCCTGGAAGTGAATTAAATAATTTCAACTCCCACGAACTGGTTCAAACTTCCATTGAGAGAGAGTTTTCCGTTTACCTAATTTTATGTCTTACACTTATAGCCGCATTCTGGCATTGCGAAAGGCCACTGAAAGAAACCGGGGGTTTTCTTATCAAAGTTTTCATGATTTTGCATTAAATATGCTATTCTGGGACTATAGTTAGAGTAAAACCCTACGATAGCAAAGATCACCGTACAACTCTCTGATGCTAATTTTATTATACGACAAGAGTTTCAGGTCACGAAAACTACAGACATAAAGTGCTAATGGCTTTTAGCATCTCTGTAATCTTGCTCAGAACAGGGTTGTTTTTTCTGCTCGTTTGGTGACAAGGATTTTCTTACTGTTAAAACCCTTGGCCAATATTTTTCTGTATTTATTAATAAGTTTAATAATCGATCCTTTTACACAGATTAACTGGAATTATTTTGGAAGTGTCTTCAGAAAAATATTGATTTTAAGAAGGAGAGGAGTAAAACCCCAACTTTTCTTACGGTTTATATATTCAATAATCAATTTTTTTATTCTTTTTAAAACTTTCTTTACTGGTTTTTATGTAATTTTAGGCTCTTTCAGCTTTTACCGTTTTTTAAAGTTTTTTTTTTTTTTGAATAAATTCCCTGCAAAATATTGTTGTGAGAAAAAATGTTTTCTTCATTTATCACTCCCTATGAACACGACTTTTATTTATAGGAATAATTTTTCTTAGATTTATTTGGAAAATCGCTTCTCTCCTTCTTGGGTTACCTAAGAGAGAAAAATATTTAACCTAAATCTCTTAAGATATCAGAAAACTCACATGTATTTGTGTACGTTATTTATATAACGTGCGCACCAACCTGTGCGTATGTAAATAAATGCCTTGAAAAATTATTACATGTCCGTAAGCATTAAGTAAGTAAATCATTGTCATTATGACCAAAATTGTTTCCAACTGTTCAATAACAACTTGTTTTGTTTTCCGTATATTTTATGAAATCAATAACCGAAAAATCGAAGAGAAACTTAAAGGTAATATTTACAAGCATCCGCACATATATAAATAAATATTAATATGTTATTATTAACTATCTAAAATCACACCATAACGTACCGGGTAAAAAACAGAAATTATATTTTTTATTTATTTATTTTTATCTTATTTTATCGCTAGCAGGAATACAAAAACGCTTAATGCACAAGAAGATGCATAAGAACTTCGAGTAAACAATGTTTACGAACTATATTAATGATAGTTATTTATAATAAGAAGATCATATTAACGTACATACATACACACATACACAAATGCTTTGGTTTTATACAAACAAAAATATTTTTCTCTCTCTCTCTCTCTCTCTCTCTGTCTGTTGTTTGTTACTTTTCCTTTGGAATATAATTCAATTAAATTCCCTTTAAAAAATCGTCGATATAATCAGTTATGTCTTCTTTCTTTTATACTTTTATTTGATGTTTAGGTTAGCATCGTTTTAAAAGATGTCAACGATGAGGAGCCACGCTTTATATCACCCAACGTCACTGAAATGCAAGAGAATATTTCAACCAACACTGTGGTTATGGTAATTAAAGCTAATGATAGGGATGAAGGCCGAAATGGTTACATTGAATACATCCTGGAACAAGACCAAATATTACCTTTCACTTTAGGTGCCGTCGATGGTCTGTTGCGTGTAGCTGGTAAATTGGATCGTGAACAACGGGCTAGCTACACTTTAAATGTAACAGCCCGGGATAGGGGAGAACCGAGCAAATCTACTCGCACTCAAATTTTAGTGAAAATTTTAGATGAGAATGACAATAATCCCATCTTTGATCCTAAACAATATTCGGCCTCGGTAGCGGAAAATGCTAGCATCGGAGCTATGGTCTTACAAGTTTCAGCCACCGATATTGACGAAGGTGCCAATGGCCGTGTACGATTCTCCATAGCAGCTGGTGATGATAATCGTGATTTCAGTATCAGTGAAGATTCGGGCATAGTCAGGGTAGCGAAAAATCTCAACTATGAGCGTAAATCGCGCTATGAGCTTACAATACAAGCAGAAGATTGTGCCGCTGACTTAGCTTTAGCTAATGAAAGTATGGAAGGTCGTAATAAATTACTGACGCCAATAGAAAATCGTTACGATATCGCTGAACTGACTATTATTATAACCGATATAAACGATAATTCTCCGACATTTTTTCACTCACCCTATTTAGCGAATGTTATGGAAAATGTTATACCGCCCAACAGTGGTTATGTGATACAAGTAGAAGCCTATGATGCGGACACGCCACCATTTAATTCGTTGGTACGCTATTTCCTCAAAGAAGGTGATACTGATCTCTTTCGCATTAATGCCTCTACCGGTGAAATATCACTGTTGCGCTCTTTGGATCGCGAAACGAAAGCAGAATACATACTCACCTTAGTTGCCATGGATACAGGTAAGAACATTTAAAAAAAAAAGATAGTTATCAGGCGACAATTGCACAACAAGTGTTGCCAGTGCAACAGTGCAACAGTTAAAAAAAATGAAAAAAAAAAACCGTTTTTGTTGCATTTGTTGCTCGTTTTTATTCTTCTTGGTAGAAGAAAGCCGCTATTACTACACGATAATCGATACCCGAGAAGGGAGTTAATTTAGCTTTAAGGCCACATTTGTTAAATTCGTTACACATTTATTGTGTTGTGTGATCATATCATAAAATGTTGTGTTCTGTTTCGGGTTCATCAACATATAACTAAAGCCTGAAAGAAACAAAATCATAATGTTTTTTATATAAAATATATAGTTACAGGTACATTGATCTGCTGTTATGCGTTGTTATGCAAAATTATTTTTATATAATAAATATATCCTCTATTTCTCCCCATCTCTCTTTCTCTCTTTATTTCCTCTCTTTCTATCTCTACGTCTCTTTTTTATTCATTCTGTCTCCTTTTTACTTGTTCTTAAAGTCATATCTAAATATTTTAGTATGAAATCTTTATTTCAAAAGGGTGTTACCAACCATAGAGCTTTAGTGGTGTGTTGTCAATGTTCACACAATCTCCACCCCTTTTAACTTCTTTTTATAACTTACTACCACTGAATCATATCGTATCGCATTCATATAACTCAATACACATAAACATATATGTATTCAATGTGCATAAAGCATGCAGCCTTAAATCCCTACTTTTCTTACTCTTTGTTACATTTTGTTTGTGTGTTTATCTTAACTGTTATATCTGAAATATAACATGTGCACATATGTATAGATATAAACACACAAACACACACACACACACACACACACACACAAACACACATGCTTACATGCACAACTTTATTTGTTATAGATACTTATATAAAATGACGTTTCAGACTGTGTGCCCTTAAACTATAAAAACATTTTGATAATTACTGTAATTTGTTAAAAACTTGCAGCGTGTGTAAGTTCGTGTGTATATGTGAATTTTATTTTATATACCTATATATATATATATATAGATATATATATATGGATGCTTGTTCTTTTTTTCTTTTCCTTTAAAAAAAGTTAAAACAAGTGTTTTTAATTTTCCTCTTCTTTTTTTTTTTTTTTTTTTTTCTTAATACCATTCACTCACTACTTTTGTGTTTGTTGAGTCCAAGAAGCAGAACAGAGTTATTTCTATATACATATATATATATATATATACATGCTTGGAGATATTCGTCCTCTGGTTGGCCAGTTGAGTGTCATATTGAAATATTTATTTATTTTTTTTTTTTGCTTTTGCTTCCTTTGTATTCATTTTGTTTTCGGTTAATTATTATTTTAAAGTGTAAGTTTGACAAATGCTCGCCAGCCACAATACCAATAAAGAAAGAAAAGGAAGTCGTTTTCTTTTATTTTTTTTTTTTATTTTTCCCGCATTGTAAACACCAACAAACCGACTATCAGATAAGAAGCCGCGGTATGCATATATTCGCATATAGATGTATATATGTATATATATATATATATATATACCTGTTGGCATATTATTTAATGATTTTAAATTGATAAGAATTTTATATAACACACAAGCACTTATATTTCGTTTCGCTTCGTTTTTATTGATGTCAGAAAATTTATAATAATTTTGTCATTATTTAAATTTTCATCATCAAAAAAAAAAAAAAAAAAGCATTTTAAGCAAACAGGCTAAAAGGGTCAGACAACGTAAATATTCGAACGCTTTAGGACAAATTTTTGGAATTTTTACTCAAATTGCTTGTTAGATCAATTTAATTTATTGCACATTTTTACCTGAGTGTAAAAGAAAGTTCGCTTCTTTCTTTTTCCTTTCTTCATAACAAATTTATTCCATGCATAAATTTATTTAAAAGTTTGCAAAGGTCAGTGAAGAGCTTAGTGAAAATAAAATGAATATATTACTTAAGATTATAGTAAAAGAACAGAGAGGAGGACAGGAGCTATCATCAGGCAATCCTAGTAAATAATTTGGAAAAAGTTGCAAATGAATTCCAAAACATTGCTGATGGGTTTGTTTTTAATTATACTCTTAATCTTAAAATAATTGCATGAATTTCAAGTCGCTTAAAACCTAAGTCTATAAAGAATTGGCGTAAACTCTTTCTTGTACTATGTTCCTTTAAAGTAGAAAGGATTTGTTCCTAGTAGCTCTAACAGGGACGCCTATCAATGGCTGTTATCAAGCCTATCAATGCTGTGATGCCACAAAAAAACTGCCCCTTGTAAAGCCACAAATCGGCTGCACCATCTCGGAAGGACGTTTGGATACACCCTTAACGGAATGCCAGTAAAACACTTGGTTTTCAATTCAGGCAATCACCATTAGGTGTCATCGCCGGAATGTATTGTTTCGAAAAATTCTAATCGCTTTAGAGCGACTCTTATGTTATTACATTCCTATCCTTCTCCCTCAAATAAGTAGAACATATCTAGTGACATTTTCGAAAGTGAACGGCTTCTATTAATATCACCGTTCATACGTGTAAGTGTAGATCTAGGACAGATGTAAAACCTTAAGGTAAACACTAAGATAGATGTCCCCTTTTGATTCATTTTCTTACATTATAAAGCCGTAAGCAATCTGTGAGTGTATTTTCGTTTAAAAATAATAGAGCCCCGTAAGATGGAAAGTGAGTTTTATTATGGAATAAATACTGAAGGACGTTAGAGGTTAACTTTTCTTTGTTTAAAAATATTTCAAAAATTTTTCTCTGTGACTACCAAGGATGGACGATCGGAATGGTCGGAATATTCATTTGTTTCGAGTAAACCAAATAACAATTATATTACAATTTGATTAAAGCGGTTAAATGCCGGCGGTTTTAGATTTCTAGTCGCCTTCGGTCTCTTTTGTTGTCATCTTTGTTCCATCTATTAACCAATGTTATGTATTAAAGCCAATATAAGTGAGGAAAATTTTCGATTTATTTACAAAATATGACCACTTTGTCGCTCTAATATACAAAGTTAACGAATAGGAAAAAGATTGCCGTACATTGACTCTGACTTTCATGAAACGAATACCAAGCGGATCTATGATATTCCTCAGGTACAACCTGAAATAATAATTGATGTACCAAATAATACGAAATACCTCCAAGATGTTTTTAACTCCTTTGGAGCTCGCAGACCATATCCCCAACATGATATGGGGCGCGCCACTGTTGTTGATTTAAACCATCGGAATCAAGCTGTTCCGCTGCAGGCTGTCCATTCAATTTAAAGCTAGCCTAGTCTAAGCCTAGCTCAGATTTCTAACATCGTTTTTTTATACACTTTTCAAAAAATTGCAATATTTTATTTGAGTTTGTTTACACACACATATACTAGATACGTGATTATGAAATGCTCCGCTGTTTAGTTCGCAATGATGTGCTGCTTCTATTCCACCAGCTTACTTTAGGCTGTCGTTTTTATTTGTGATTTTATTGCTTACTAGAAAATATTTTGTACACTTAATTACTTTAGTAAAACATCAAGTTTTTATTACTTACTTCTTGTCCATTCCATTTTTCCAAAAGCAAACTTTTTGTTTTTAAATTTTCATTAGAGATAACTGCTTCTAACCAATTGTAAAGATTTAATTGCAATTAGCATTTTTGTGAATTATACTAACAAATGCAGTGCAAAGAAGGCAATTCATTTATATAGTGGCGCACAATAGCTGTCATCACAGCCCTTGCCAAAGACAAAATAAAATATCTTCAAGAAATTTTATATAGACCGTAATGGATTTCAAAGTCCTTTCTCGGATGGCATTCAGAACTGAGATCACATTACATAATATTTATTATTAATAATTGATAGCTTTACTACATAAGTTTTCCCAAGTTGAATGCAACTTGCATTGTTTTTCAGTCTACGCCCTGTTTAACTACACATTCGGCATCTAATTTTGATTATGTGCTAGATTTGTCTATCTACTTGCAACAGTTAACGACACTACCTTGAGCCTATGATTTTTGTATTTTTAATTAACGTAAAGCATTAAATCGATTCAGGTCCTCCCAACCGTTAGCTTCTTTTCTGTTATCAAAACGCTTACGATTGCAAAAATTTGTATAGAAATCTGAAATGTGACTGAGTCTGATGTGATCGTCAAAGATGAAATTGAAAAATATGCACAAACTGTAACTGTACATACTAGGTGCAATACATATTAATGTAAAAGTTAATGCAAATTATCCCGAGTTTTTTGTAATTAAAAAACCAGAGTAAAATTGACTTTTTTACTGATGGCATAACAACCGATAAAAACTAAGCAATTTTTTATATAATGTACACTGATTACAGATAATGGGTGTTACAGTTTTGCATAGCAAGACAGAACGACAACTTTCTTCTTCTTCTCCTTTCTCTCTTTACGTTTTTTTGATTCTAGCAGCAATAATAACGAACATCTTCTAAATGTACATTTAGGAAACTAAATGTTTTCATCTTGACTCATAAATTTTTGGTCCTTTCTCGGCACAGAATTGTGCTCAATGCCCATCATTCCTGTTGTCTATCTCACCTTTTGCTGCCGTATGTTCATCCAGTAATAAGTAGCCAGCAAGAAGACATGCAAATAAAAAATGTGAATAAATCAGTTCAGATTTCTAAGTATAAATTTATGTTTGGTACATATTATGTGCATATATAACATACATGCTACAAACTACATCGTCACTTGATATTTCTGAGTTTTACACCGAACTCATAGAAGATTAATGGCTTCATCTTTGTTACCATTAAGAATATAATTCATTTAGAGAGCAATTTTCGTAGTTTTTAGGTTATGTATTTTTTAGATTTTTAGTTACAACACAATGACGGATGTGTGTAAATAACAATTGTAACAATTATCTCTAACGAATGAACTAAGACCATATTCTACACTTTTTTTTCTCATCTACAAAAATCCATAAAACAAAACGAAAATTTATGCAATTTATGCAAGC